AGGGCAGGTGTCATCCCAGAAGTGGCCAGTATTTGTTTTATTAATCTTTTCAATTTTTAATTAGGTCACTCAATGTTCCAGATGCAACAGATACCTGGCCAGACAGGTAATGGCTTGTGACATCAGAAGGACTCTCTGATCCGCACCACTGGGATCCCCACCCCCTGCCCGTCGGGTCACTTAGGGTCCCAACTGCTCACTGGCCAAAATCTCTTCCTTAGCAAAATATCTTCCTCCACATCCCTGGGCTGCCACACAAATTACTTGGTGAAATATCTACAGAGAACAGGCTTCGGTATCTCAATATTGTTATATGACGATCCATGGGCTCGAGCTAGAAGTTTTCATTAGATCCTTTCACATATACACCAAAAACAACTCTCAAATGTCCTCTTCCTGAAAAATCCCTTTGTTCTGTCTCTCACGCTTAATGAGAAGACTAGCTTTCAATACGTTAACAAGTCACAAAGTGTTGTTCTATCTACGGACTGAAAACGTAGCGTCATCGACATAACAAGCCACCCAGTGTTGCTGCATCTGCGTACCATCTACTTACTGCTGCTTGCAAGACCTGGTCCCTACAGAGAGAGTACCTGCTGGTGGTGCTCCTTCTCCAGAATAGATTTAATTTTTCATCAATTGGTAATTTCTCCGTTAGTCTGACATCAAAAAAAGTATCCCATGGATTATGGAAAAAACCAAGTTTTGACTCACTACATAGCAGGTCAGTTACCGTAAAAGAACAGGTAACCATCCGAAGTGAAAATGGTTTTCAGTTCTCTTCAGAACACACTTTGTGCTATACCTTCACCACTGAAAACCACGCAAGTGGGGTGGGAAGCACCAAGCTATCCTGCCAGCCTGGAAAACAGTCAGCTGTGACATGCTCTCTAACTCATAGTCCTTTTCTTTCTTTTTTAAAAAAATGTTTATTTATTTTGAGAGAGAGAGAGAATGCATGAGGTGGGGGAAAGGCAGGGGAAGGGCAGAGAGAGAGTGAGAGAGAGTCCCAAGCAGGTTCCACGCTGTCAGAACAGAGCCTGACATGGGGCTCGAACTCATGACCTGAGCCGAAATCAAGAGTGGGACGTTTAACTCACTGAGCCACCCAGGTGCCCCCATTGTTCTTTTCTTAATTACCTGAGTGCCAGCTTGAGTGAAATGAACTTTTCTTCTGTTTTTTTGCATGAGTGCTTCAAGTTAAAGCCTCCATGCCTGTGATGATGCACCACCATCTGCCCTTTCTAGACTATCTTACAGCTGGCGTGAACATGAGATGTCCTATAAGCCAACACCTCATTTTAAATGCGAGAGTGCGAAGCCAGGTCGGAGAGTTTGGAATAGGGGATGGACAGATGGCACAGGTGGATGGAGAGGTGAATGGACAGGACCGTGGGATTATAGGATTCCATACCAGGAGCTCCTTATTCTCTTTCTGCCTTATCAGCAACTATTTTTTTTTTTTCCAACCAAGGCAAATCATTTCATTTCTCTGGGATCTTTCCTTCTCTCTGAAGCCATGAAGCCCAGAGGCTCTCTCTCTCCAGCTCCCCCAGTCTTTGATGTCATGAAATGACAGGACTTTTCAAAATGATCTGACTTGCCAATGCCAGGGCCACTTTGCCAGAACCATCCAGAATTCATAGCACTGTGATGATAACAGGGACTTGGGAGATCATATTAATCCACGGATGTGACACTGACTTACATGCAATGACCTCTATTAACATTAGAAAGTAGCCAAGACCAGAAACCACCTAAGTGTCCATTAATAGATGAATGGATAAAAAAAAGTGATACACACACACACAGCCATATCTACACACACAATGGAATATCACTCAGCCTTAATAAGGAAGGAAATTCTGCCATTTGCAATAACATGGATGAACACTGAGGGCATTATGCTACATGAAGTAAGTCAGACAGAGAAAGACAAATACTGTATGATCTCACAGGTAACCCCCCTCTCCCCCCCCCGGCCCCGCAAAAGAAGAAGAACTCATAGAAACAGAGAACTGATCAGTGGGCTCCAGGGGCAGGGGATGGGGGTGGAGTGAGTGCAGAGAAGTGGGTAAAGATGGTCAAGGGGTACAAGCTTCCAGTTATAAGATGAACAGGTCCTGTGGATGTAACGCACAGTGTGACAACTATGCTTAACAATACTGTGTTGTATAGTTGAAAGTTGGTAGGCAAACAGATGGTAAAAGTTTTCATTGCGCACACGCATGTGCCCGCACACGCACACACACACACACACACACACAAACCATTTGAGCTGATGGATGTGTTAACTCATCTTTTGTGGTAATCCTTTTGCAATATACACATATATCAGATCATCATGTTGCAAACCTGAAACTTACACGATGCTATATGTCCATTACATCTCAATAAAGCTGAAAAAACCCCCCACAACAACTCTGTTCACTTTCTCATTAAAAACAAAACGGCTGCGAGCAGAACTTCATCAAAAAGTAGTTCCCACCTTGAATGGAGATGCTCACATAAGGAGGAAAACAGGATACTAAAATTAGCAGTGAGGGGCCCACCCTTGCTTCCTGGGTGAATAGAAAAGTCAGCAACCTCAAGTCACCCTGGGATCCTGTGCGCATTTAATTCTTCTTCTAGAAGGCCTTTGTGAAGTGTGAGACTGGGCTATAACAGCTCTCTCTAGCATGCTTCCCACCTCCCATTTAATTTTTCCTAAGACCCCAAATTCCATTTGGCAGGAAGGACGCCATAAAAATGGATGCCTCCTTGAAGCAAATCCCTTCTGTCTGTTCAAAGAGCCCTTCTCAATAATGACTGCTTTCTAAAGTCATCAAACAGCAGGAGAGCCAACTGTATATGCAGACAGGCCATTACAATAGGATATTTTCCCCCTCCGACTGCCATTCCTTAAAAAGTCAGAGCAGCCATCATTTGTTTTTCTGAAGTTCAGCCACCTGGATGGTTCTCTGAACGTTACAGGCGATATAAGCAGTGGGGCAGAAGCCCGCCCTCTTTTCTGCATGGGAGAGTAACAGCGGTGGAGGTGTATTGAGGGGTCGCCTGGCTAAGCTTCTTCCTCTAGGCAGGTCAGGAACAGTCTGAGACAAAGCTGCTGCTTCCGTTTTTAAAGACAGAGATTCTACGTCCACCTGCCTGAGCCGCTTTCCAGACTTAACTGCCCTCAGAGTCATTTTCCTTACACCTCACAACTGCCTGCCCTTCCCCCCCCCCCCCAGCTCTGGCTCTGCTCTAATCTAAGCCTGCTTCCTCTTTGGTCCTCGGTGGAGAGCCAAGGCGCCTGCTGGATGTTTCTGTTCCCTTATTCATAGGACAGGGTCACGGTGAGTCTTCAGTTTGCCACGCCTACTCAGGAAACCTACAAACTTGGGCTTGGGTCGTCACTGTGTGGTCCTGGGCCTGGGCCGGCGGGTCAGACACAGACTGGAGTTGCGGGTGCTACCAAACTCCCAGGGTTTCCTGAGTCTGGGTAGTCTCCGTGACTTCAAGAGCAAGAGCGGAGAGGCGGCAAACGAGGTCGAAACAAGAAGGGGTCACGGAGCAGGCTGACTGCACTAAGGGGATCGTGCGTGGCATGCCACAGCCGGGGGCTGCTGCTGGTGGGTGTCTCTGGGGGGGGGGGTCTTCCCTCTCTGGGGCACTGAGAAAGCAGAGGTAGCACAGGGGATGGTTCTGGTTGGTGATCGAGACACTGGCTGTGGCCAGGCCCGCAGGAAAGGCAGCCACGAGCTGGGGTGAGCACAGGGTGAGGCCTGGGGGCCACCTCACAGCCCCATCAGCACCACCGCCACCACGGGAAAGGCGTCTAGAGGACGGCCCCGCCGAGCAGCAGCCACCCAGGCGGGCAGGGAGCCTGTCCTGTGGACAGAGAACGTTTCCCGAGTCCATTCTCGGTGCCAGGCACAAAGCACTGTCTCCTGTCTCATCTCACTATTACCTCCATTTTGCAGATGAGGAAGCTGAGGTCCAGGAGGTTCCATAAGGTGCTGAAGGCTGAAGTGCCTGAACCAGACCTCCACTTGTTTGCCTCTCCCCCCTCCCAGCCCCCCAGAACCCAAATTCTTAACCAGTCCGTTTGACCACCTGACCTCCTTTGCATCTCAACCTCCAGGCATAAGTGGGAAGCCCTGGTTTTGAATCTCTCTCCCACCAGCTGAGACGGCACTCATTTTCCACCCCGGGGACCTGATACAGTTTGGCGGCATGCAGATGCTGGGCAGAACCCAGCCAACGTCCCGGGGAAGGGTGTGGTTCTGGAAAAGAGTGTTACTCTTGTGTTTACTCAAAGATAGTCATTAAGTCACCGTGAAGACATCTTTCTGCAGACTAAACAACCCCACTGCTTTTGAAAAAAGCTTTCCTCACAGGAGCTTTTTTTTTTTTTTTTTTTTTTGGTACCGTCTTTCTATATTTACTGGTTTTCCCCAGGGAATTCTCCTACCCTCCCATTCTCTATTTTAATCAATCCTGTAATAAGATTCTGATCTATGCCACAGAAAAGAAAAGGTCATTTTCATAGTTTTCATCTCTGGCCTTAACAAATGAATAAAAGGGCCAGCATGGATAGTAATCAGCTACTTGTGGTCCACTCTGACCCTCAGGCATTTTTTTTTTGGCCACCTCAGTGGCTGGTCAAATCTTCCTTTTACTGTTTCTGATCCTGTTGAACTTCACCGTGTATTAGAGGGACTAGTCCTCAGTCTCGTGCAGCCCCGAAATGCTTCCAACACACACCTGACTCAGGCTGACTTGCTTCTGCCCTCTAAGAGAATGCTTTAAAAGGAACCCAGTACTCAGAGACAAACTTTGAGGAGTGAGTGTCAACAATAAAATTCTCTTTCCCTGCCAGAGCCTCATAGTCCTCTCCGACAGAGGTTTTAGCCGCATTGGGGTAATGCCAGTCAAACCCAAGGATTCTGAGATACCTTCCCTTGTACCTCAGTGCACCAGCCCAGAGGTTTGCCAGCCCCGATGGGGGGCCCACTTACTTCGAGGTTCTCGGGGTCCATCCACTGTGATTTTGATGGCTCTGTGGTAAGTGGCAACTTGCGGTGGGTTTGTGAAGACCGTGATAGTCAGAGTGAAGCTTTTCCCTGTTAGGACACAGAAGAGAACACAGGAAATGATGAGGTGGGGGCCTGGATCTATCCACTGGGGAGCTGACCACTAATGTACGCTTTCCAGCCGTCAGACTGGGAAGGTGGTACTACTTCAGCACAAGTTGGTGGTTTGTCCAATACTCCCTTGCGTTTGGCTCCGCTTAAATTCTGGAACGCACACCTTTGGTGTCTGTCTAGATGTTAACACTTCACATAGTTACACGGCTTCCATTTAATCATCAATAAAACAACCCGGGATCAAGAGATATTCGGCTTTGTTTTCTTTCAAGTCAAGACTCCAGGGAACATGGGATCGGATTGGCTGCTATCCACTCCCCCCAGCTGATCCCCAAGGAGTAAAAGAAACTGTATCCATCTTTCCTTTTTAACATTGCTCCTCCCTTCAAGGATTGGGAAAGACAGAATTCCTGAGTTTGGGAATAGGCTCAATTAAAATTATTCTCTCCCTATTTAAAAAACACTAATTGCTGGGGCGCCTGGGTGGCTTAGTCGGTTAAGCGTCCGACTTTCGCTTAGGTCATGATCTCGCGGTTCGTGGGTTCGAGCCCCGCGTCGGGCTCTGCGCTGACTGCCAGCTCAGAGCCTGGAGCCTGTTTCAGAGTCTGTGACTCCCTCTCTCTCTGACTCTCCCCTGCTCATGCTGTCTCTCTCTCTTCCAGAAATAAATAAAAATATTAAAAAAAAAACACTAATTGCTGGTTGCCTTTAAATATTATTATTATTTTTTCAATTTTCTTAACGTTTGTTCATTTTTTGAGAGAGAGAGAGAGAGCAAGTGGGGGAGGGGCATAGAGAGAGGGAGACACAGAATCAGAAGCAGGCTCCTTGCTCTGAGCTAGCTGTCAGCACAGAGCCCGATGTGGGGCTTGAACTCATGAACCAGGAGATCATGACCTGAGCCGAAGTTGGACACTTAACTGACGGAGCCACTCAGGTGCCCCTTAATATTATTTTTAAATGCTAGATGCTATTATGGGCACTCATGGGATTGGTCAGACAAAATTTATAGTCAATAAAGTGACGTCACAATAGGTAATTGACAGACTGAGGTTCAATAAGGACTATAGACATACGATCTCCACCCAAACACTTCACATCCATGCATGGGACGCAAGCACCTTTTTAGAACCTATGTCTACCACCACAGTTTTAGTAACTTTTAAAAACTATTTTATTTTTTATTTATTTAACAAAAATTTTTTAATGTTTTATTTATTTTTGAGAGAGAGATAGAGACAGCATGAGCAGGGGAGGGTGAGAGAGAGGGGAAGATACAGAATCTGAAACAGGCTCCGGGCTCTGAGCTAGCTGTCAGCACAGAGCCTGATGTGGGGCTTGAACCCACGAACCGTGAAATCATGACCTGAGTTGAAGTCGGAAGCTCAACCGACTGAGCCACCCAGGCGCCCCTAAAATCTATTTTAAAATATACGTTTAACTTAGAATACAATGACTAACATATAAATACATAAATAATTAATAGAACATAAATATACCAACAATTAATAAGTATTAATATGCACATATATTGATCAGTTAAAACATTTCTTGGCTAGGTGGTTCAGAGGATGAATGTAGGTTTGAATTTTGGCTAGCTGACCTTTGGCAATGCCCTGGACTCCTCTGTGCCTCAGTGCCCTTTTCTGGAAAATGGGTACATATAATGATTTCCACCTTATAGAATTCGGGGGAGGTTAAATGAGTTAATAGGAGCAAAACCATTAAATGGTATCTGGAGCACGATATTCGAACGTGTGTGCATAAACGTGTGTGTGTGTGTGTGTGTGTGTGTGTGCGTTGTGCTCACATTATTTTTCTTCTCTGCTTCTCAGAGCTCCCCAGCAGGATCCTAAGGTTTGGATAAGCATGGTGTTCAGACCACCCACATCAGTGCAGTGGGTCTCAGTTTAACAGTTTCTCCTCTTAGTCACGTAGTGTGAAAAGACACCTAGAAGAAATGAAAGGCCCATCCATGCGCCTAACTGCTCCCAACCCATGTAAAACTCAAAGTTTTTCCTTCCTCACGTTAGAAAGAACAGAGTATCTTCAACTGTCATGCACATTTTCATACAAAAGAAAGCCACAAAAAAAGCTCAATGAAAACACAGGTGACCCTTGCATAATACAGGTGTTAGGGGCAGTGACCCTGCCTTGTTGAAAATCCATGTATAACCTTTGACTCCCCCAGAACTGCCAACAGCCTACTGCTGCCCTGAAGACTCACCGATTATGTGGAATAGTTGATTAACACGAATTTTGAATTTTGTATTTCATGTATTCAATGTATTGCATTCTTATCATAAAGTAAGCTAGAGAAAAGGAAATATTATTATTATTGTTATTATTATTAATGTTTATTTTGAGAAGGAGAGAGAACACAGGGGAAAGGGGGAGGGGCAGAGAGAGGGCGACAGAGGTTCTGAAGCAGGCTTCGTGCTGACAGCAGAGAGCTTGATGTGGGGCTCGAACGCACGAGCCGTGAGATCGTGACCTGAGCCCAAGTCAGATGCTTAACTGACAGCCATCTCCACGCCCCGAAAAGAAAGTATTATTAAGAAAATCATAAGGAAGAGAAAATACGTTTACAGTCTCGTACTGTATTTATCAAAAAAATCTGCATGGTTCAACCCATGTTGGTCAAGCGTCTACTGTGTAACCTTGGGCCACAGCAAGCCAGCGATTCCTAATCATTAAAAGTCCCCAGGGAACCATCCCCAAGATTTGCGTCTGTCTACAGTGAAGCCTAGGATAAGAACAACAATGACGAGTAACACTGGATGCTGAAACCGGCTTCGTCTGGCCTGGCCTTACAACCAAAGTCACGGCTGACAAGCGAGGCTGCTCTATGAGAAGGGAGGCCAGAGCACAGGGGGAGCCCAGAGCACCCGAGGCCCGGCCTCCAAATTTATCTTCCCATCAGCTGCTCTTCTCTCCTGGATCCCAGAGAAGATTCCTTTTGGGCTTTAGGGATTTGCCATCTTTAGGACATCATTCAGATATGGCCAGGTGATACCCCAGATCACTTCTCCCCGATATCTGGCTGAGGTAGGGGAGCAGCCAGGAGGGGCTGCTGGTCAGGCCCGGCGAGGAGGGCACAGCGATGGGGAGGCAGCACCCAGGTCAGCTGCCCATCTGGGAATGGGTCAAGGGAGCAAAGGCGGCTGTAGCCCAGGCAGCCTGTCCACGTGGTCCTCTGAGCCCTGTGGGCAGCCCTTCACCTTCTGTCAAGAACATACAGGGTGGGGAGGCGGCCGGGTGGCTCAGTCAGGGTTAAATGCCCGACTTTGGCTCAGGTTATGATCGCCTGGTTCGTGGGTTCGAGCCCCGCGTCAGCCTCTGTGCTGACAGCTCAGAGCCTGGAGCCTGCTTCGGATTCTGTGTCTCCCTCTCTCTCTGCCCCTCCCCTGCTTATATTCTGTCTCTCTCTTTCAAAAATAGACATTAAAAAAAAAAAAACCTACAAGAGATATGAACTGTATTAGGACTGAATCCCACAGCCAGCTATTAATCAGGACCTTCTACCCGATGAGCCCCCGCGTGTTATTTCTCACTTACTCCTTCTCTACCCCTGCTGGACTCGTCTCCTCTGAGCCCCACTCACAGCCACAGGACTTCCACTAGGGGGTCTGTCTTCCTCTAGCCCCCGGCCAGCCCGCCAAGGCTTCCTTGCTTTCCCCTCCCCCGCTCCTCGCCTCGGTGCTCCTGGCTTCAAAGTCAGGCTCCTGTTTCAGGCAGGAGCATCTGCCTCTGAAAGAAAGTGGTCTTCGCCTTCGATGGGGGGGCTGAAGGGGCTTGTGTCTGTGAAAGCCCGAGGGCAGGGATGGTGGTTGATGCCCACCGTGCGCCTCTCTCGGAGGAAGGTGGCAAAGGATGAGGGAGGCAGAGTAGGAGGGATTGAAATGAGGGGACACAAGCAATGAGTAATGACATGGCCCCAGGGACCCAGCGGGTTTGGGTGCGAGGGGGGCCAGGTGCTCTTCCTGCAAGAGGCTTAGATACATGTAACAAATGACGTGGCCTCTCTGGATCTCAGTCCCCTGGTCTGGGAAACAGGGAGCTCAAGGTTCCTGGGATACCCACAATGTCACTTTCAACTCGCTGTATCTTCTGAGGACGCAGCCCTCCCAGCGCCCACGTTCCCGTACATGTGTGCGCGTGTGCAGGCGTGCGCGTGCCCCCGTGTGCCTCCCCTAGCTCCTGCAGCATCAGCATTTCAGAATCTGTGAAAATGCTGTATTAGTTTGCTAGGGCTGCTGTAACAAATTACCACAAACCCGGTGTGGGGGTGTGGGAGACTTAAAACAACTGAAATCTATTGTCTCTTTGTTCTAGGGGCCAGGAGTCTGGTACCAAGGTGTCAGCAGGGCCCTGCTCCCTCTGAGGGCCCTGGGGCAGAATCTTTCCTTCCTTGTCCCTGCTCCCGGAGCCCGCTGGCAAGCTGTGGCTTTCCCTGGATGCCAGGTGCATCTTTCAGCTCCTGCGTCTGCTGTCACATGGCCTTCTTTCCCCTGTGTGGCTTCTGTCTCCAAATCCACTTTTCCTCATAAGGACACCAGTCATTGGAGTTAGGGCCCACCCTCACCCGAGATGACCTCACCTTACTTGATTACTTCTGCAAAACCCCTATATCTAAATAAGGTCGCGTTCCGAGGTTCCCTGTGAACACAGATTTTTAGGGAAGAGTATACAACCTAGTTCAGACACCGAACGTGTTCAGAGAGCTGGTCTTGACATTATCAGTAACAAGTTTTCTACAGGCACCTGTGCATTTTACCCGCTGAAATGGTACCATCCTGTGGCAGCACTGCTAGAATCATCCTATCTCTTTTTTAATACTTTTTAAATGTTTATTTATTGTGTTTTCTTCTTAAATAGTTAATTGTCAAGTTGGTTTCCATATAACACCCAGTGCTCATCCCCACAGGTGCCCTCCTCCAGGCTTATCCCTTTTTTTTTTTTAATGTTTTATTCAT